TTTGACATGAGCCAAAGGAACTTTTTGAAGAGCAGCGGTATTGAGAAGACATCTATCAAGTCTTTCCCATATTCTCAAATTCCCTTCCTTGTTGTTGCACCAAGTATATTTAGGACCAATGGTACCTATATCATGAAAATCATTGTTAGTCATAAACATTTTCATTTCTTGAGGACCTTTAGAGAAAAGGAATCTCTTTCCCCCTCTCTTATCATCATTTGATAATAAACAATTGAAATCCACTCCAATAATTGAAGGAATGTCTTCTATTGTTTCCTTTTCAATCATCTCCCAAAGATTTCTCCTTATCCGATAGTCTTTGTTTGCATATACAGTTCCCACCATCCAATTGCCAAATAGAGGAGATTTGAGCATGCCAATAACATCTTGAGATGAGTGATCCAAAACTTCAAAAGAAATTATGTTCTTGTTCCACAAAGTAATGATTCCACCTGAATTGCCTTCAGAAGGATGGTGAAAGAAGTCCCAATCTTGACCAATAACTTTATCAACATCAATTCTATCAAGATTAGTGATTTTAGTTTCAACAAGACCAATAAAACAACCTTCATTATCTTTTACTATCTCCTTGAGATAGAGGGAAGCCTCCTTCTTATTGGCCCCCCTACAGTTCCAGAAAATAAGGGAAGTCATTGATGCAAAGGTGGGTGTACATCCCCACCTTTCTTTTTGTTTTTGATAAATCCTCTTCTGCTCTTAAAGAGATTCTCAACTGGACCCAAATCTCTGATTTCTTTTGATAATTTAACTTTCCCTGATGTTGTTTTGATTATAACTTCATCTTCGCACTTGCCGATATTTTCTTCCCGGTCAGACCTAAGGTCGACGACACAAGGTATTGAATTTAAAACCATCTCGGTCGGACCTAAGGTCAACGACACGAGGTCTTCAATTTAAAACCATCTTGACCAGATCGAATCTAAGATCGACGACACGAGGTCTTCAATTTAAAACCATCTCGGCTGGATATAACATCGACGACACGAGGTCTTCAATTTAAAACCATCTCGGTCGGATCGAATCTAAGATCGACGACACGAGGTCTTCAATTTAAAACCATCTTGACCAGATCGAATCTAAGATCGACTATATATATATATATATATATGATTTAAAAATCTGATATGAAAATATAATTCAATTTATAAAAATTGAATTTTAAAAACAAATCTGATATATATTTTAAATTTGTTTTAAAAAAATTATACTTTTAGAAAAGATCATTAGTTTTATATTTAAGTTTTGCTGACTCACAACTTGCATGCAATTAAATAATTATTTATTGACACCTTTATATGAGAAGAATAATGGGTCAAAAGTAGTCATTATAGGCCTTCTAAGAAGATAATCATTTCACTGTTCAGTTGAGGCAAGACATGCAGTTTAAAAAAAAAAACTATAGGCCTGGAATGAAAACCATAGATTTGGAATGATTCATGGTCACGGGCATATCAGCATAAATAAAAGAAAAATTGGAAATATCGGTTGTGTTTAAAAGAGATACAGAAATCCAAAAGGCTTGCGAAATGCAGATAGAAGGGCTAGGGGAGTTGTACAGCGGGATTCTTTCTTGCCGTAAGAGGTAAAGGGATTTAGGATAGAGGCGTCATAAAACAGGAGGCCGAGGTGTATTAACGATGAGATTTACCTGTGGAGGGGAATTTAATTTTTACAATTGGAAACGGGCTTGTGCTCGGCGACATGGAAGATCGGGGGCGGCGTCGCCGAAGGATGTGTGAAGTTTGAGGCTTTAAATGAAACAAGAAGCCTCAGCTCCGTCCAGTGTTTGGTTGTAGAACAAAAGCATGAGAAAGAGAGGAAAATGGATGTGAGTGATCAGTTTATGTTCTTCTTTATATATATATATATATACAATGCATCGTTGTTTGAATGACATTTTTGAACGAAGCAGTGCATCATTTTGGCTATGTTGGTCCGGCCCGAAGTGACGCTTCCATTCGTTTTCTCTTTTTTTTTATTGCCTTAATTATTTAATTTAGTCAACAGCTAAGTATTGTGGGGAGAGGCATCCTACCATGCTTTGTTTTAGTAAAGGTAACTCTAAAGTTTGGCAGCATCTCTGTAAAGTTAAATGGTTGGTTGAACCATCTATTAGTTGGGATCTGGGTGGTGGTAATATTTTCTTTTGCCAGGTTCGTTGGTTGGGTGGTCTTTCCATTGATTTTGATTCTTAATACTACTTCCAATCTAATGCGAAGGTTAAATTTTTCTTCAAGGATAATGATTGGGATACTGAGAAACTTTTTAATATTCTTCCTGATTTTATTATTCAGCATATTTTGCCGATCCATTTAAATATGAACTCTCCTGATGTCCAGATTTAGTCTTTAACTAGAGATGGTAAATTTTCTTTAAAGGGTACCTAGCATTCCTTTAGTACTAGGATAGAGGTTTCTAATATCTTAAAATGCATTGGCATAAAAGTATTCCTTCTACGGTTTCTATTTTTGTTTGGCGGATTTTACATAAATTCATTCCTACTTATGACAATTTGGTTAAACGTGGGTTCATTCTTCCATCTAAATGCAATGTTGTTATCATTTGGATAATATGCACCATGTTTATATCTCGGGACCATGTGATGTTAAGGCCTGAACTTATTTTGAGGATATTATAAAATTAAATTGTTTCAATACTAAAGTTTCTATTTATGCTTTATTGAATTGCTGGTTTGTTAAGTCCAAAGGTCATATCATGAATGTTATCCCTTCTCTAATCCTTTTATTTTTATGGTTGGATAGGAAAAATTCCTGTTATAATGGTGTGGTTATGAATCCTAATAGGATTATCCAAAAGGTGAAAGATAAAATTAGGGATCTTTTTTTCTGCTAAGAATTTCAATAAGTATCACATTGCAACTATTGAGTTTGGTATTAATCTTGATGTGCATAACATTCAAAAGGTTCCCAAAAGTTTTCTTTGGTTGAAACCTCCTCATAATTTCCTTAAGTTAAATATGGATGGTTTTTTCAATAAGAATATGGCTGCTTGTGGTGGAATCATCAGGGACTCCAATGGGAACTATATGCTTGGTTTTACTGGTCCTACTCTTTTTTGTGATGTTAAAACTGCTATTATTATTATTTTTTTGATATCCTTATTGGTTTAAGGCTGTGTTTATCTCTGGATTGCAATAATATTGTTGTGGAAATTTGCTCTTCTTATTGTTTCAAGTCGTGTATCTTGAGGACATTATTTGCTCGTCTAATTTATGTTACTTGAGGAGGGATATTCAATAGGTGCTTAACATGATGAATTTCTCCTTTTCGGCTATCAAGGGGAAAGGTAATGCTTGTGCCAATGTCATGGCTAGGTGGGGTTGTATTTTTGACTCCATGAATGATTTTAGTTGTTCTAATTTGCCTATTACTGTTAGAGGCCTTTTAAATATGGACAAGAATTCTATTCCTTATGTTAATTCATATGGTAGTTTAGGTTCTGTGTATGACTGATTTGTTTTGGCTGGATTGTTGTTTTTTTCTTAATTTGGGTTTTCCTCGATTGTTTTGTGAATCTACCATGTTATGGGTTTCGTGGGTCCTATTTTCTGCCTTTATGGATGGTTTTTTTTGCTGTTGTTTTATTTCCATTTTGTTGTTTAGGGAGGGTTGTGTTCTTCTGGCTGTTGCCTTTAGATTTTGTTATGTGCATTTCTTCTTCTCGGAGTGTGCTGCTAGATGACCTTCCTGGGGGATTTGTTTTTCTAAGTATTTCTTTCAATCACATTGTGCTGGTGTGTTTATTGGCATCATTTCTTCCGGGAAGGCCTTTGATCTGGGTGTTTCTCAAGGTATTTTGCTAGTGTCTCTTAGGATGGTTGGTTTTTGGTGTTTTAGGTTGGCCTGCATTTTGCTTGGGAGTTTTTCTTGGGGCTTTGGTCCTTCGGTTTCTTTCTACAGTCTAAGGTGTTGGTGTAGCAGGTGGGTTCTTTATGAGTGGTTCTGGTTTAACAGCCTTTTGAACTTACTTCTGTGGTTGGGTTTGGTGTTTAGGATCCAGCTTATTATGATTTTTTCTATTCCTGCTGATGTTATTGATCCTATCCTTGGGCTTTATATATAGTTTATCAACTTGTGGATTAAGAGACATTATACTTGTCACCTAGTTTGTTTTTACTTTGGTGGTAATTGTTATTTCCATTGCTGCAATAACCACATTTTTTCTACCTCTACTGCTTTTATCTTGTTTTAGTCTATTACTTTTTTCTGCAGAGTTTTTTCCTTGTAGGTAATCGTGCGTTGGCACTGATCTGGAGGATTTTGGATCTGAATTTTGCTTTTTGTACCTTTATGCTTTTTTGGGTGCTTTCTCTTGTACACCGTAGAATGTTCCTAGGTTCTTATGTACTTTTGCTTAGTAGGGAACGCAAGCTTGTAGGTTTTTTTCTTTTATTTTTGTAGCTCCTCGGAGCACTAGAGAGCTTATGTTTCCTTTAAGGACCTTGTAATTGTTTTTTTTTTTTAATTAACGCGTAGACCCCTCTATGGGTTTCAGTTATATATATATATATATATATATATATATGATAGTAGTTTAGGTGTTGAATATGTAATTTTCATAGTTAGGTGTTATGTATGTAAAAATCCCTAATAAATTTTATAATAAAGATGATAAAAAATTATAATTTAATTAAGTAATTTAATAATTATAATATTTGATATTAGATCAATATTAAAATTTTAATATTTTTATTTAGATTAATATAAACATAAAAACAAAATTTAAATTTTATTCATAATTTAATTTATGACAGAATGGATATATTAAAAAATAATGGATATTTTTTAATTTAATTGAGCAAGTAATTTAAAAATAAAAGATTGGATATTAAATCAATACCAATAAAAGACTTTTATTTAAGATTAACTTATTCTTAAAACTATAATTTTTTGAATATGATTCTATAAGTAGTTATGGAAAGCAGATTAAATAGATACTATTTTTAATTTTATTAAGCATCACATGAGCTGTGATATAATTCTTTTGACATGACAATAATGTGGATATCTGTGTTGAGGGCTTGATGAGGTGTCGGCTTCCCAAATAGTGCTGTTGTCACCGTCGTTTATGACCACATTGTGATCTTCCCGGAGGATGAGGTAATAGATTTTCCAAGCTTTTCGATTGCTTTGACTGGACCACAAAGCACCATTACTATTGTACATGACGAGGTCGCCATCATGTTGCAGCTTCAGGTTGCAGCCGAAATCCATATCTTTGGCCGTTGCCCACCAAATAATTTTCTTATTGGAATCGCTGAGGACGACGGTACAATTTTGCATCATCGTGAATGAGCCGACCTTCTCCAAAGATTCTCCCGATTTTAGCCATTGCCCAGATTTTAAACTGTCGCGAGCAGCGACCGGCGTGGCAAAAGGGCTCACCATTAATAAAGCTGTCATGAGGAAGAAGGGGATGACTGTAGTAGCCGAGATGAAGGAAAAGGCCATGGTAGCTTCTTGGGATTTCAGTTCGAATTTGCTGGCCACCCGTAGGGGTGTCAATTTCGGGTCACGGGTCGGGTTCGGGTCGATCCCAAAATTGACCCGGCACTATTCAAGTCAACCCGAACCTGACCCATTTTTACAAACAGGTCAATTTTTGGGACCCAAATCCGACCCGCTTATCGTTCGGGTCAACCCGACCCGACACGAATTTGCACGATTTGGCTGAAGAAACGTGTGAAGATAGCTGGCGAATAAACCGGGCGGCTGACGCGACTATTGGCGGACCTTCGGCTGCGACCTGCAAGTATGGCTGGCGAACGCGACGGGCTTGGCCTTCTAGCGAACGCAACAATGCGACAGGCTAGGCCGCTGGGGGACGCGACTATTTGACGAGCTGGGGGACACGACCGTTTGCGGGTATGCGACGGTGCGAGGGTAGCGTCGCAGCGGTCACCGGAGTCACCGGACGGCAGATCATTGCGCAGGAAAGGTTCCAATGGGCTTGAGCCGCTTGACGCGGACGGCCAACCGTTGATGCGACATCATGACAAACTCGAAATTCGAACTTGACAGAAGACGCGACGGATGGACGCGGATGTGAATGGCGCGGTCCCGGGTCAAATCGGGTTGATTCCGGGTTTCCAGGTCAACTCGAACCCTACCGGATTTTACAAACGGGTTGAAATCTCTAACCTGAACCCGACCTGGTTCAGGTTCGGGTTGACCCAAACCCGAAATTTCCATGTCGGGTTCGAGTCGGGTTTTCGGCTCGTGCCCAATATTGACACCCCTAGTCACCCGTTAATTTGCCCCTCTCTCTCTCTCCCTCTTTATATATATAATGTTTGGAATTTAAATAGTCTTTCAAAGTTTGACTTATTCCACTAATGATGTTCAATAAAGAGCTAGCATTACACTGCTCATCTTCACGTGTTGATTGGGAGCGTAGGCTACCAACTAAGATGACTTTGATTCAAGTTTTGGTGTATGCGATATGTGTATGAATTTGCCTTAATTGACATAAATGTCTGAAAGAAAAAAAATGCTACATTACTTACAAGAAATTAAAGCTGCAAGAAATTCATAAAATGTTAAGAATATAGTAGTAATGTTTTTTTCTGTAAGAGTTCATTTTATTATGTGAATTATTAAAAAACAATTTAAAAAGTATTGAACTTTTTTTAGATGATGATCATATGTTATTATAAAAATTATAAAGCTGATTCCATAAAATTAAAATATAAATATTTTACTGAATGAAATAACTTCAAAATATTAAAAGGTGCCTCAAAATGTAAAACAAATTTGTACTACAAGGTGCCTTTCAAATGTATCAAAATTTTACGCTATATTTATTTTACTTTAATCCAAACAACAATATTCCTAAAACTCTAATATTTAAAATATTTTATATTTATTTTAATTCAAATCAAATAACCTGTAAGATAAAAGAAATTACCACATTTATATGGCCACATATTTGCCTAGGAGCTCTTGATTAAGACTTCGTTGGATACAAATTTCTTACTACTTTGCTGTTTCAGAATGTAACAACATTTTTTTTTACCACTTGAAATTTTAAAAACAGGCTTAGAAAATAATTTTTTAGAAGATTGGACTTCCCCAGGTCCGGCACCTCGTCCTCATAGGTCAGACTATCCGGACTCTACCCGCAGGCGGGGAAGGGTCTAAAGCAAGAAGAGAGTAATGCAGAAATATGCATGCGACCCCGGGGTCGATCCCCAGCTAATTCCCTAGATTCGTTATCTTTCTATGTTATTTAGACTCACTAAAATTTTAGACTTTAAGGTTATGAATATACAAATTTTTCACACCCTCACGAGCCTCACGAGTCCAGGCTAAAACAAAAGCGACACACAAACGCCAAAAAACTAAGAAAAGCAGACAATCCTAGAGGCAATCAATTCAACACATCGAATATAAATTAATTAATTAAAAAATGTCCATAGGCAAAGTTGCCTTGCTTATTACAAACCAGAATTTTGCAGAAAGTAAAGTTGGCCGGGCACCACTGACAACAACCCGGATTCTAAACCTAGTAATGACGCAAGTAGTTTTGAGTGGGATATTCTCAATCTTCAAATCTCCAGTCTTGTTCTTCTTTGGGCTCCTTTTCTCCAAGCTCCTTGGATTCTTCGTACTGGACTACCCAGATGGATAAGAGGGCACTTCCTTTAAGGGGAAGGCCACTCTTTCCCCTTTGGGTAGGGAGGAGTGTGGCTCAAATTTGGATCTCCAAATAGAAAATGTCTACTCCCCTTAGGGGCATCCTTTTCTCTTCGGAGTCCAAGCTTTGGACTTATATATCCCAACTCAAAGCTAACTTTCACAACACTTAATAATTACACAAATTACATTTACTTGAAAATAAAATCTACACTCACCTGCAGGGTTATCCTAAGCAGTTAATAAATGAAAAGAAATTATTCCCAAGCAGTTATATTTATGCAAAAAAATAAGTAAACACACTGGCCACGCTCCTTTTATTTGGGGGTTTTAGCAGCTGAAGCACCTGTTCAAGCATTTATAGCAATTGATATTTATTATTAACTTAGCCCCCCCCCCTTTTTGTTGCCCTGCATGAGCGTGGTCACCTGCAAAAAACTGTGTGAACATCCAGATGGTACCTAACGTAAGAGTAATATAGTCGCCAAACACATCAATCCATCCACAGAGTGCAGAAAAGTAAGCAGACACAGCAAAGCAATTTCATCCACAACATGCACTGAAAACTACGAAAAATCCAGCACACAACAGTAATGTAAACACCGGCCTAGCCTAGATCTAGAGTTGGTTGTCCTAGCACACCATCTAAAGTGTGTGTAAAAGGTCGTGTGGCTAGGGTAGATCCTAAGAAGGTGATTAGTTAAACTTCTCTAAAGTTCTGGGTTTGTTGAGGCTTAAAAGGGGATTTAAATTAAGATTTAAGTATTAATAGATTAAGCTTTTTTTTAATTAACTATATTTTAAAGTTTGATTGATTACTATCTTTGTTTCACACCGAGGTCGTGAAGTTTATTTCATCTTTCTTGGGGCTAAGCTAATAGCCTCGTAGGCCTGGGTTACCCAGTAGCAATCGGGGTTGATTAAGTTACTTAAATTGGTTAGAATTAAAGAAGTTGATTGATATTAAGGGGAGTTGGTTACTAATTTTATTAGATTAGTTGAGAATTTTAATAATCAAGTTAGAAAATTCTGAAATTTGGGGGAGTCAATAGATTTTAGAGGGTTATCCAGATATGTTAACTAAGGGGTCAAAATTTGATTTTTAAATTTAGGGTTAATCTTAAGGGTTTCAGATTTTTAATTAATACTAGACCTAATTATGAGTTGTTATACAGGTGGCACATTCAATTTAGAGTTTTATATCAAAAGTTATGATTTTTAAAAGTTTTGACCCGATTTTGACCTATGGTTGACCAAAATGTTAACTTTTTTATTTTGATAGTTTTTTGGTACTTTATTATTTTCAATAAATATTAGGCATTATAATGAGTTGAATGCAAGTGAGTTTGGTCAATTTGGATTTTTCTTGAATTAATTATGAATTATTGAAGTTTTGAGTATTTTAATGAATTTTGGAAATTGTTTAATAAAAGGCTTTTTATGGTTTTTGCTTCAAATGAGTTCCCAACTTCTTGAAAACACCTCCAAAGGTCAGGAATGACCTAAAGAGGGATTCCCAAGTGTTTGGAAAATTTTTGGAATTTTTTAATTATTATTAATTAATTACATTAATTAAATATTGAATTTTACTTAAAATTAAATTAAGGATTAATTTGCTGTCAAATCAAAGGGCTTTTAATTTTTATTGGTTAAGGACCGGATTTTGATCAGTTAGAGGGGTTACACGTAATTTTTAATTTTAAAATGGATTTATTACGTTTTTTAGGAGTTTTAAGGGCTTAATTAAGGTTTAATCTTAGGAAATTTGAATAAGGGGCTTAATAACTTCAAAAAATAGTGAAACTTTTTCCTAAGGCTGAGAATGTCATTAAGTTTAAATGGTCCAAATTTCAAGTCCAGATGATGTACACCTTAATTTCTAGAATTTCTCTAAGTTTTCTAAAGATGTCCTTAATTATTGTCCCTAATAATGTCATTAAGTTGTGTAGGTTTGAATCAATGTTTTGAATAACCCTTGGACAAACATAAATAATCATACACAAGAACACAATCAAGTCCTTAAAACTAGGAGAGCCTAGGCTAGGTGGTGTGTGTACCTTAAGCATGCAAAGGCTAAACACAAGTTAATCAATTAAAGAATTATTCAATGAACATTTACCAAAGTAATTGTGCATTGATTAAACTATCATTCCCCACTAATTCCATTGAAATAGACTTTATCCATGCTTAAAATTTCAATGGGGATCTCTCAAATTTTAAGGGTTTAAATGTATATAATTTTAAAGTAGGTTTTAATATATATAAATACATATATATATAAATATATATATTAAAATAGTATAAATGAAAATATTATAAAAATAAATTTTTAGGGATTGAGAGACCCACTGATTTGCAGTCAGGGAAAATAATTTTTTTTTTAAAGAAAGCAATTAGTATAATTTTTTATTAAATGTTTAATTAAATATTAAAATATTAGAATAATTCAAATTAACATCAAAATTTACTCAAGTAATATTGAAGATATACTCTGAAAGTTTAACGTAGGTTGAAATATATTTTTTTTATTTGAATTTTGAATTTATTTGATCTAATAATAATTAAGATAATCAAATAATTAATATTTAAAAAAAATTTACTCAAGATATATAACTTATTTTAAATTAATTTTATTTTTAAATTAAAGGCCTAGAAAAACTGAGCAATTTGATATATTACACTTAATTTTTTGATAAGTATTTGATTTTAAAGAATTTTTTAAAGTTTCTCGTAATTAAAAATAATCAAAACATTAATTAAACCTTAATTAATACGATCTGGTGGCGGGATTGACACGTGGCTCAACGAGGATCGTCTGATCAAAATGCAAAAACGGCGGGGGGACGTGGCGCAACGGGGACTGCGGGATCAAAGCGTGACGGCGGCAATGATTAGCGGCGGTGGTCAGCCACGCGTCAGCTACAAACCGATTCATGCAGTTTCATTTAACCATGTCAGCGCCACACCGTGGCCGTTGGATCTACGAGGGTTTGATCCAACGGCAAGGATTATATCCCATCGTCCGATCTCAAATAGGAACGATCGGACTGTGGAGGATTGATCCCGCGGAAATGAACGGGCGGCCCGGATGTCGTCAGACGAGAAAACCGGCAACAAATCAGATACACGGTCGGAAAGAGCCACAGAATGGCTCGATCTGAGCCATTGATCGAGAGATCAATGGCCCAGAAAATGTGCATCCGAGTTAAACCACGAAAACACCCTAAAAAAGATTTTTTGGCTCGTTCAGGCGATCGGATGGACGAAATCACATGAAATTTTAAACTTAATAAGAAGACATGAACAGAAATAGTGGGGAAACATTCGTTTTGCCTAAAACATTCAATACATGAAGCTAATTAAATCCATCTAATGTGAGCTAGATCTAAAGTTTTGAGAGATTATACCGTTAGATCTTCGAAATTTCTGGATGGATGAGCTTGTAGACTGTCCAAGTGTAGATCCCCAGCACAAAACCAAGCTCGAACACGCCTGGATCGACCGCTACAAGCCTAGGATGGAATAGGTGGTGGACTCGCCGGAGAACTCGCCGCCGGTGATGTGCAACCACTTGGATTTTGTAGTGGAAACGTAGAGGAGACTCTAATGATCTAAAACGAAACAAGAGTTTTCTCTGGGAGGCTGGGATGAGTGAGAGAAAAAATGTTGTTTCTATGCCCTCAAAATCAACTTTTTCCCTATTCAAATGGCCTGGGCTAGTTTGGATGGTTATGATGCATCAGGGGCTTCCCTCTGATGAAGGACAAGTGTCCCAAGCTAATAGGTGACAAGGAGAAAGGCTGGAAAAGGCCTTCTAACCATTGGTTAGTTCTTTTGAGGTGGGGGGGGGGACCACTACCATTTAAGGCTAAACCAAGGGCTGGGCTTGGTTAGGGAGCCTGTTAGAGAGCTTTAAGGTTTTAATAGGTCGGCCTAAAGTAGCCTAAATCAAGGGAAAGTGGGCTAAAGGCTGATTATGACCTTTTGGAGAGGTTTAAACCTTGGGTTTGACTGTGTTGACCAGTCAAGGGGTCAAGGGAGGCTGAGTTGGCATTAAAGCAAGCTGTAGAGCGTGTTTCACTGGCTGGATGGGCCTGGGTTGAGCTAGATTGGTTGAAAAGGTCGGGTTGACCATAGAAATGGTCCTTTAAGCCTTGAGTTGACTGGTTTGACCAGTCAACCCAGTCAAGGGTCTGATGAAGTGGCAAGGAGAAGTTTAGGATATTGGTAGGATAGATCAAATGAAGGCTTCATGTTATGCCATTGGAGTTTGAATATTTGAAATGGGATTTGGGCTATTTTGACTAAGTCCTATTGCTTTGACTTAGTCGACTTGGCTTGGATTTTGATTGACTAAGAGTTGAGACATGGTTAAGTTATGTTAGGAGTTGATTTTGGAGCTCTGAGAAGGATTCCATGGGTTGAATGGGTTAAAACAACCCATTAGAGCCTTGAGGAAATTTTGAGTCAACCTAGGCTGACTGGGTCAACCAGGTTAACTCAGGGTGTGGGTTCAATCTGCACAGGTTTGAGACAACATTTGGAGTCTAGTAGAGGTGGTTTCAGGAATTAAATAGGCTATTTGGGTCAAATAGGCCTACTGGGCCTTTAAGTCAAAGTTGGTTGACTTGGTCAGCCAGGTGGGTTTAGGGTCTAGAAATGGGTTCAATCAATTTGAAATGACCTTTGGAGTCTATTGGATGTGGTCCCAGGGTTTGAAGGATTTGATTTGGCTAAATGGGCTTTATTGGGCCCATTAAGGGTCATTGGGGTCAAATGGTTGACATGGTCAACCAGGTTGACCCAGAGACTGAGATTAGGCTCCACAGGTTTGAAATGACATTTCAAGACCAATGTAAGTGGTTCCACGGCCTAGAGAGGTCATTTGGGTCAAAACACCCATTTGGACCCTTAAAGGCCCATTTAGGTCAGTTGTGTTGACTTGGTCAACCAAGTTGACCCAGGGCCTCGAAATGAGTCCAACATGTTTGGTTTGATATTTGAAACTTGCTGGAGGTGGTTCCAAATAATTCGGAGGTCGTTTGGTTTGAAATCGATGTTTGAGCCCCTAATGGGTATTCTGGTCATTTTTGGGCTCATGGTCACTAGGGGCTAAAATGAGTCCAAAAAAAATGCAGTTTATTAGTCAACTTATCAGGATTAATGGTCTGGAATTGATTAGAGGCTTTGGTGAAGGCTCTATGGTCAGAATCTTCAAGGTGGGAGGTCCAGTGGCATAGGCTGTAAATATCTGAAGGTTTTATAACCTTTGGATTTTGATTTAGATTCTGGGGTTAGAGACCTCAGAATGGGCCCAAATTTGAAGTGTAATCTCTAGAGACATGTCCCATCAGTATGCAACTGACAGACCCTAAATAAGAGGTTATTTGACTAGGTTTCAAATTATTTGAAAAATCAATGAAAAGGGCCTTCAGGACCAAGCCTTTGAACCTTGGATTTTAGTCTGGATTTTTTTTGATTTGAAATGGATTCTGAGTTTGAATGACTGTATTTGAATTATCCGTATCATTTATGATCATTTGGCATGATCATGAGTGGTAGGATAAGTTTGAAGTTTGACAGATTCAGGATTAGAGTTTTAACCGAAGTTTGGGTTTTGAATTGGACTGAAGTCTGCTTTTATTGAGACTCAAATTGAGTTGAGATCTGGATTGGGTTGAGGTCAGGATTGTTTTAATGTTCGAATTGATTGAAGCTTGGAATGGTTTAAGACTTGAATTGATCAGAGGGCTAGATTGGTCCTAGGAACTAGAGGGACTCTAAGATCTAGAATCTAGAAGGATCTTAGGATTTGGAATCTAGAATGGTCCTAGGATTTGGAATCTAGAGTATGGATGAATCCTAAGCTGTAGAGCAGATCCTAGGGTCAAGATAAATATGGAGTCTGGAAGGGTCTCAGTGACCTCATATAAAAATGAGTTCAACAAATGGACCCCCAATGTGTCTAGCAGAAGGAACTTCTACTGCACACATTGGCGTTGACCGAATGGAAATTTAAAAGGAATCTCAAGCATGTAAGGGAGGGCATCACCCAACCTTATGTCTATAGGATGCTGATAGAAGACTTACACCAAGTAGACAAGGTAGCTAGGAAAACCAAGGTAGGGAATACCTAGCCTTGGGTCTAAGGAAGGGCATCACCCAACCTTAGGCCTATAGGATGCTGATAGAAGACTTACTCCAAAAAGGCAAATCAACTGGGACCTAGGATGGTGCCCCAAAGGGCGTACTCCACCACTAGCGGGTCTAATCCTAAGGATAGGAAGAATCGGACCTTGGGGAAAGGATAAAGGTGCGTTAAAAAAAAAGGGTAGAAAAACATAAAAGAACCAGAACAAAGTTACGAATCAAAAGAAGATTTTATTAATTGATAACACGAGCTACATCAAGCATAGTATTTCTGAAGAAAACGCCCGTTGACAGGTAACATTGGGTGATTTCCCTTATAATCCACTAGCTGATACGAGCCTCCTTCGTAGACAGTCTCTATGACGAAGGGTCCCTCCTAAGTTGGTTTAAATTTACCACCCAACTTTCGATGTCCTAAGATAGGCCTCCAAAGGACCAGTACCAAATCTCCCACTTGGAAGGTCCTAGGTCGCACTAGCTTATCATGGGCTTGAACCATACGGAATTTGTATGACTCTAGACATTGTTGAGCTTGGAGACGTCGCTCTTCAATGCCTTCGAGTTCTTCCAACCGCAGTTTTGCATTTTGTTCATTCGTTATATGATTCCGAACTACAATCCTAAGTGAAGGGATTTGTACTTCCAAGGGTAAAACGGCCTCGGATCCATACACTAGTACAAACGGGGTGGATTAGGTCAGGGTTCTATAAGTGGTACGATAAGCCCATAAAGCTTCCACCAACCTCTCATCCCATCGTCGTTTGTTGTCATCAAGGTTCTTTTTAATGATTTGCACCAAGGTTTTGTTGAAGGCCTCTGTCAATCCATTTGCCCAGGGGTAATAGATTGTTGAGTATCTCTAATCAATATTGTGGTGTCTTACAAAGTTGTTGATTTTCGTAGACTTGAATGCGGACCCATTATCGGATATAATTCTGCTGGGTACGCCGAATCGATATACGATATGGTCACGAAAGATATTTAAGATATGGTGTGATGTTACATTACCTAGGGGAATTGCATCCACCCACTTTGAAAAGTAATCAGTCGCAGCTAATATGAAACAATGACCTCTCGAAGAGGGAGGGTCAATCGGCCCAATGATATCTGTGCCCCAACTCTCGAAGGGCCACGAGGCTATCGTTGGGTGTAACACATTAGGAGGCTGATGTAAAACCACACCATGGACCTGGCATTGATGACAGTGCTTTGCAGTATTCAAGCAATCGTTAATCATTGTCGGCCAGTAGTATCCAAGTCTTTTAATTTAATTTCATTTTTGGACCCGATTGATATGAACCGCATAGTCCTGAATGAACTTCATTAACAATTTTTAGGGCTTCTCGTTTGTCTAAACAATGCAGCCACATCTGATCGAATGATCGACGGTACAGTAAATTGTTAACTAGTGTATAAGATAGGGAACGTTTCTTAATTTGATTGGAAAGAGATTTATCTTGGGGAAGTTTCCCTTCTCAAATGTAGTCTATTAAAGGTTGTCTCCAATCGCCTTCCTCATCAATCGTTGAAGAGGCAGAAAGGACTTGGAAGGGACTCTTACTGATGTGTTTCAAATCTATAGGAGAAAGGGTTTTACGGCCCTGAATCTCTATAGGGATGGAATCTTCCTCAGGACATGCAAATTCCTTCGCGAGCTTTGCTAAGGCATCCGCTGCGGAATTGCTTCCACGGGGAACCGTATACAGAGTAACAGTAGGAATTTGCTCAAGCAGGTGAAGGGTGTACTGGTGGTATTTCAAAAGATTAGGATTTAAGACCTTATAGGTTCCTATGACTTGGTTGATCACCAACTGGGAATCACCAAAGATCTTAATCACTTTAATTTCCATTAAAATTACAAGTTCCAAACCAGTTATCAGAGCTTCATATTCAGCCTCGTTATTTGTGCAGGGCTCTGACAAATGATAGGAAAAATGCATCATCCCTTTCTCTGGCGTTATGAAAATTAAGCCGACTCCAGCCTTTCCAGGAATTATAGACTGTTGGGTGGTATTCCTACAAGAGGATGCTGCACCATCAAAATATAATTCCCAGATGGCTTCTCCAGATTCCCTCAAACGCATGATTTGTTCGTCGGGTAAATCATCATTCAAAGGAGAATCTGCCGGCAACGGGTGTAATGCCAAAAAATCGGCGACGGCCTGTCCTTTCAAAGCACGGAGGGGAATAAAAGTAATCTCAAATTGGAGTAGTATCATAGACCAACGAGCCAAGCGTCCCGATAATGTAGATTGGGTCATAAGATACTGCAAAGGATTAACTCTCGAAATTAAACTAATTGGGTGGGAGAGCATGTAATGCCTAAGCTTCTGGGCTGCAAAAACCAAAGCAAGACAGTGCTTTTCAATTGATGGGTACCGAATTTCGATAGGAAGAAGTCTTCGATTGAGGTAATAGAGAGCATTCTCTTTCCCTTCGTCGTTGACTTGAGCTAGCAAGGCACCTAAAGACTCGTCTAAGGCAACGGTATAGAGAATCAAGGGTTTTCCCGGAACTGGGGCTGCCAAAACTGGAGGGTTGGAAAGGTATTGTTTAATGTCGTCAAAGGCATTCTGTCACTTCTCGTCTCATACAAATTTAGTATCCTTTTTCGCAATTACAGAAAAGGGTTGACATCTCCCAGAAAGGTTAGAAATAAACCTTTTTATATATGCCAATCTACCTTGTAGAGACCTTAGTTGAGTAAGACTCTTAGGAGATGGCATATCTAAGATGGCTTCAATTTTAGCAGGATCAATCTCAATTTTGCGGTGCCTCACTACGAATCCTAAGAATTTCCCTGAAGTGACGCCAAAGGCACACTTCAAGGGGTTCATTTTCAAATCGTAGCAGCGCAACCGTTCAAATACAACTCTTAAGTCATACAGGTGAGTATCTTTGACCTTGCTCTTAACAACTAAATCGTCAATATAGCACTCAACTTGATTATGAATTAAGTCTTCAAAGATGCGAGTCATGGCCCGCTGGTAAGTTGCTCTAGCGTTCTTTAGGCCAAATGACATTACCTTATAATAGAAGATTCCTATAGAGGTTCTGAACGCAGTATTTCTCTCATCTTCTAGGGCCATCCTGATTTGGTTATAACCTGATGAGCCATCCATAAAAGAGAAAATAGCATGTGAAGAGGTAATGTCCACCATAAGTTCTGGTATTGGTAGGGGGAACTCGTCTTTAGGACATGCCTTATTCAGATCCCTATAGTCGACACAAATCCGAATTTGACCGTTTTTCTTTCGAACTGGCACGAAGCTGGCCACCCAAGAGGGATGTTGTTTCTCTCAAATGAATCTGGCTTCTGCTAATTTCTTAACTTCAAAAATGACTTGTTGTTCGATCTCTAAGCACATGCATCGAGGAGCTTATTTTACAGGAATGGCATCATGCCGAACCCCAAGTTTGTAGACTGCTACCTCAGCGGGCAAACCTGGCATTTCGTCGTATGTCCAGGCAAAGCAATCCCTGAACTCAGACAACAATTGAATTACATCTTGGGTTTCACCCTCGCTCAACAGAGTACTTATAAAAATCGGGCGGGGGTCATCATCGTTTCTCAGGTTAATTTCTCTTAACTCATCGACTGTAGATTTAATTTCCTCCTCAAATTCAGGGGGTGCATCCCGAACTTGAAGGTCATTGGGATCATCTAATGTCTCCAAACATAGCCCATCTAGAGGATAGAAGGGATCTGTAGGGACATTTGGAGAATCAAGATGGTAAGTTATCATTAGGCAATACTCATCATCATCAAATGAACTAACGGTTCCAAAGCCAATACCACTTGTTGGATTTTTCTTTATCTTTGTTTGCCAAATATTCTCGTGGTATCTAGCTTGACCCTTAGTCCATCGGTATGGTATAGAACCCTTAGAAAAAGTATTTTTCACATAAACAGGGAAGTAGCCGAAAGGTAATTCTATTAATTCATTGAAATATGCCTCCTCAAGGGTTACATCACCTTCATCCCTTACGGAGGAGGAGCCAGGAAAGAATTTCTGGACTTTCTTAAATTTACCATTCAAGTTGGGGGCCACTTTAACTTCTAACCTACAATCCGGCCTGCCAATAGTGGGGTCAGAGAAAGGGCCTCAATCCTCATACTGAGCTTTTCGTACATTGTTAATTCAGGCTCGTCACTTTTAGATTTTGAGATATCTACCTCAGGGTCACTGTCCTGGTCTAAAGTAAGATCAAATTTTGGAGGAGTATTTATGTTCTGGTAATCGAGAGAGAGGGCAGCACCTTGATTTTCTAGTTCACCATCAGAGTCTTCCAAATCAATATACACAGGTGCTGCTCTCCTATCTAATGAAGCACGGCCTCGACCTCGTGCCCTTAAAGCCATCTTCCCACCTCTTTGAGGTAATGTGCTTGGAGGCCTAAGGACAACGATATCAGAGTCGTCTTCACTACTCGATCGTGTCATTTCTTGATTGATATTTTTATCTTTTTCTTTCTTTTGATTGAATTTTTATCCAACCATTTTCTCCTCAACTTTGATCTCCAATTTAGAACAGGACAAGGACCCTTTTGGTATGAAATATGCAGCATCTTCTTAGATCCCAATTTCTTGAATTGAGAATGGTTGAAGATCACCCTTAATCACATGTTCATTTCCATCTCGTTGATACTTAACGCATTGGTGCAGGGTAGATGGAACCATTCTATATTCGTGAATCCAAGGTCTACCTAGAAGAGCATTAAAAGACGTAGTCGAATCAATTATATGAAATTTAGCTTCAGTTTTTAACCCTCCTATTTCTAGGAGTAAAGTGATCGAACCTAAAGCTCTCTCGCCCTTCTCGTTGAACCCATGAAGCACCAACCTATCGATTGAAAGCTTGCTAGTATCAACTCTGAGATAAGCAAGGGTCTTTATGTTCATCACGTTGACCGATGCACCCGGATCAACAAGAACTCTCGATAACTTGAAGTTTCTCACATCTACAGTAATGTAGAGGGGACGGTTGTGGTCAGCAGTTCCCAAGAGTAAATCTTCGTCGGAGAAGGTAACCCCGGGGACCTCTTTGAAGTAGAAGGCCTCATCTTTTGAAGTTGAAGCCAGTTGGGCTAAACAAATCTCAGGGTCGAGAAGTGCTTTGACCATAGACTCCCTTATTTCATTTGAAATAAGGAGGGCATCGTAAATGCTTAGTTTGGCTGGCAACTTCCTAAGATGGGCCAAAACATTATACTCAACCCTAGGGACGACAGACTCGAAACCCGGTGGAATTAGAGGAAATTTTGGTTGTTGAGGGGAGTCTGGATTTAGATCTTCGAAGGGGGATCGCTTGCCTTTGTCCTGAGGGGGCAACCTAGGAGGTAAGACTTTACCGCCACGGAGTTGCACCTGCTCGATATCCTCGGGCGGGCAAACTAGAGCGGTGTCTACACTCACTGTAGGCATTGGATCGTCGTTTCCCGAAAGAGAGTCAGAATCTAAAAACTCTATCTCGATAGGACTTCCCTGAAAATCAAATTGGGGGATATCACTTTCTGATAAGGCTTCACATTCTACACCTTCTTGAGTAGTCGACTTAGGAAGGTCGGTTTGATTAACATCAAGATTTATTTCACTAGGAGTTTGATTTAAAATAGGAGAGTCATCAATTTGCATTTGAGATTCATGGCCAATCATAAAGATAGAAGTAGAAGGATGTTTTTTATTCATCTTTTGACACTTCGCCTTTGATGGGGCAAAGTAAAAGTCAGATAACAAAAGAGGGGAAAGGGTTTTAACACCACCATCCGCCATTCTAATACATCTCTCATCCACACACTTCCTCTCTACAAAATCAACTTTCTTTTCTTTTATATTTTTCTCAGTAGTTCATACGACTACTAGAGGGGGAAGTGGCTCAACATCCTTCTACGAAGCGTCTAGGTCAACCTTCCACTCAGAGGCCAGGGCTAACGTAGTTAGCTGTTGAGAAAGATGAAAAGACTTGTTAATCGACTTTTTAAATGCCCGAGACAAAGCAATGTCCCAACCATCTTCAATAGGAAGAGAAGAATTAAGAAGATTACCTGAGATAGATTTTGACTGAAGCCTTTTCCAGATCGACCAAGTATTCTTTAGGAATTGTAATGTTACCTTGGATGTAGTTCCTCTCTAACCAATCTTTGAACACAACACAGTCCTCAAGTGGGTGACTAAGCATCCGATGGTATGGGCAATACTTGGGATCATCTTTCTTACTCTCATCCTCGGGTCTCCTAGCCTCTCGCAACTGTAAGTCAGGTTTCTTTAACAAGCTCTTGAAGATCTATTTAACTGATTCTCTTTTAAATGGATAAGGCTTTGCCAATCTCTCTTTAAAAAAGATAAAGGTATGATTTCTAGTATGCTGAGGAACTATCTGAAAGGGCTGCTTCTGAGGTGGCTGTGGTGGAGGTGGAGTGCTAGGCTGACTAACCACTGACCTCTTTCCTTTATCTACTATTGAAACCACAGCTTTCTTTTCAAAAGTTTTCACCAACTTAGGACCCTTCTTATCTTCAGATTGCTCTCGTAAGAATGGCATCCTAGGAGCCTCTTCCTGCAAATTGCTAGCCTTGTTAAGAAGTTTTTCAAAAGCTTTAATAGTTAAACCCTTCAGGAGAAAAGCAACAGGTCCGTGGATATTCTTTAGAAGAATCTCCACCGCGTGTTGATCTTGCAACTGGAGTTCACACTTCATCGAGAAATTTCTCCACCTCAAGATGTACTCAACCAGAGACTCTCCCGGCTTTTGCTTTTCAACCACAAGATCGCCCACGGTGGTGCGTTGTTGCGCTCCAAAAAATCTCTTAAGAAAGAAGTTTTCTAGCTTGCTAAAGGTTCTTACTGAACCGTTGGGCAAATTGGCGTACCATTCAAAAGCAATGACGGATAGACTACTCACAAATTGGCGAAATAGTAGAGCATCTGACCTTCCTGCATTGCAACAGCTTGCTCGGAAGTGGGTCAGATGCTGTCTCGGATTTTCAATTCCAGTGAAAATTTTAAATGTTGGTGGCACAAAGCCCTTTGGGTAAGGAACTAAGTCATATTCTTCAGGGTATGGTTTACCCTTTGGAATAGACGGGTTCCTTGCGAAAGGGCTAAGGCCTCCCTTACCTGGTCCTCAATTAGTTTCTTAATGTCCTTCTGAGGCAGAATTGGATGAGTGGTGGAAACTGTGGGCTGAACTGGAGGTGCTTCTAACAGGCAGGGAAGGGTCACAGGTGGTGACTCTAAGGGTTTGGAACTAAATTTTGCCCGCTTAGCCTTTTCTGTGAGCTCTCGAGCTGACTGTTGAATTTTAAGGGACTCTTGCTGTGATTTATCTAACTTTTCTTGCATCTCCCTGAATTGTGACATCATGCTCGCAAGTTGAGTCTCCAAGTTTTTTATGTGCTCTTCATCTCTGGCCTTTACAGACTCATCTGAATCTGACTCAACAGCATGTGAATCGTCATTTCTAACAGATCGACATTTTCTGGGCTCAGTTTCTTTATTAGACCCCCTAGTCTCAACCATACAAATGCTACCAACATAATAATCTTCATTTTCAAGGAGATCATCCATATCAGGGTCAAAAGAGGTAATTCCTTCTTTATTCAACAAAATGTTTCTTATTTCTTGAACTACCTCCTCGACCGGTCTATCCCCAATTGACTTAGGATCGAGGGGTAAGTATCCTTTGTACTCAGCCATATCAAATAATTCTTCAGAATCCAAGAGGGCAATGATTTCTGTAAGTTTTGGGTTAGGATCTGGTTCAGACTTTGTAACTAGTTCATCTTCCATTTCTAGATCCTGGTCAATTCTCTTCTCTTCGACTATCCCAGAATTGGTAGTTAGAAGAGTGGCATCCTCTACGGGGAGAGGGACATATACCTCGGGGGGAGAAGCAGGAGCTTGTAAAGTGATAGCTCCTACATCTGGCAAGGTAAGGTCCTCAGACACTTGACTAGGGAGCCTAGGAATAACACTAGGACCTTGGGGATCATCAACTGGGGTAACAAGTGTGGTGACTATTGGATTTTGAGGTAGACTGGCTGTGGTAGGACTGTCAACTGCAACAACCGGGGTACTAGTCTGGACATCCATCAAGTCAACTGAAACCGGAGTAGGGTTGGCTGGAACTCGTTGGAGCTGCAAAATGAACTTAAAAGTTCTTGGAGGTGGTGGCAGACTCTCCAACTTAGTTCTCTTTGGCACATATTTCTTTTCAGGAGATTTGGGTCTTTTCCCTTTAATGTCCATAGACTTTTGAATCTCAACCCCCTTTGGTTTAACAATCACTGAGGCCAATCACACAGGTTTATGAGGGGGTACCGGGCGTCTACCAGTAGGATGGTGGCCTCTCTTGGACAAAGTCAACACAATACCCTCCGTTTGAGATGACGGAGGGCGTGGCACCCAAAGATATCCATCAACCTGTACCGAAGTAGCGGGTTGTCTAACATACTTCTTATTCTTCATGAAGAATTGTGGGGTCAAATTCTTTGCCTCAGACACTTCTTCCCTCAACACTTCTTTTTGGAAGCGATGTGAGATCACTCCCTTTAATTGTTTTACATACTCCTCCTTAGTTTGTCCATACTGTGCAGCGCAGGTATGAATTATGTTTCTTAAAGTCCTTGTCCTCTGGAGATATTTTTCTTTCTGAGTCTTCTTAGTTGAGTAGTCGACCGGGCATGGTGGTGAACGGGCTATCCTAGCTGCCCACTCCTCCCCTTAAACTGAAGCCAGGGGGTAAAAGAGACTCACCTTTAGGAGGGGAGAGGAAGCAGGAATAGGTAGCTCCTCAGCAGCCTCAGGCTCTACTTGAGCTAAGGTCTTAAAGGGTACAACTCTCTTAGCCTTAGAGATCTTCTTTCTAAGTCTCCTCAAATAAATTTTCTTCTGATTCTTGGTGGCGAAGCTAAGTCCAGAACTAGACCCTTCCTCAAAAATAGATTTAACTTCAGTGGGAGGCTCAACAACTGATTCAGACTGTTTCTGGTCATCACTAACTACTGGCAAGGTAGGTGCAGATCCCACAATCAACTCAACCACTGGGGGAATTTCCTTATTGGCATCCAAACTAACAATCTGGTGTCCATCCATGGAGAGCTCAAGAGTACTGAATCCCATTCCAAAAATGATAGTGCTCCCTTGGTCATTAATAGTTGAGGACAACTCTCGGTCGAAAGAGAAAATTAATTGGCCAACCATTTGGGATTTTCTGAAAGTTAAAGAGAGGATTGAAATTATATTTTCTTTAAAAGGGAGATGAAAGAAATAATTTTTTTTTTAAATTAAGGCTTGTAAGAAAATCTCAATCCTCCAACACATGTGGAGTAGTGAAAGATATCACTTAGCATATGTCAGTGGGGTAAAGAAACTAAGTACATGCCAAAAAGGTTTTCTAAAAAAAAAATTGACATATGTTAGCCCACAAGGAGATCGTATGGGGT